TTCCCCTGAGGAGAACCCAGACCATTAGAGATCTGTTCTATGATCAGCCCACTTCCTGTATAATCAGCCTACTTCCTGTATGATCAGCCCACTTCCTGTACAGCACAATGATGCATCTTAAACAATTTTGATTTAGTCTTGTCAATGAAAACTCAAACCTATGACTGGTTGACAGGTTCTGGGTTCTATGCTAACCTGGTAAAGCTGGACTAATCCAGTTTAATCCAGGATTAGGAAGAAACTGAGCTTTTTGTGGTTTGGGTTTCTGCTCCCTTCAGATCCGTCAGGTTCTAACGGCCTGCTTTTAAACTCTCCCTCTCTGACTCAAACCCAGACAGAGATGTTAGAGGAGGACAGACGGCTCACTCTGCTCTCGGCTGCAGTGCTCCTCGTCGCTGCCGTCCCTGCAGTCGTCCTCGCCGTCGCAGCGGAAGGCCGACGGGATGCACTGACCGTTCCTGCACTCCAGGAGGCCCTGGCTCCTGCAGGCTGCAGACACAGACAGCTTTCAGCTAAGTGAGGCTAAGTGAGGCTAAGCGAGGCTAAATGAGGCTAAGTGAGGCTAAGTGAGGCTAAGTGAGGCTAAGCGAGGCTAAATGAGGCTAAATGAGGCTAAATGAGGCTAATTGAGGCTAAATGAGGCTAAATGAGGCTAAGTGAGGCCGCAGACCTGTTGCTGATTAGCCCCGCCCACCCATATAGACTCACAGCAGTTGAGCTCGTCGCTCTTGTCCAGGCAGTCATGGTCTCCGTCACAGAGCCAGTCCCTGGAGACACAGCGGCCGTCCCCGCAGCGATGCTCCCTGGACACGTTACACACTGCCACGGCACACACAGAGCAGTTACCCAGCATGCACCTGGCAGGCGGTTACAGAGAGCCTTACTGTTCTCTCACCACAGTTCAGTTCGTCGCTCAGGTCTCCGCAGTCGTCGTAACCGTCACAGACCAGCGCAGGAAGCAGACATCGGCCGGTGTTACACCGAAACTCTTCCTCAGGACACTCTGCAACAGACAGAGAGCTCTCACCATCATCACCATCATCATCATCCTCCTGACCTGTGGCGTTCCTGACTGGACCCGCAGACGTTCTGGATCTTTCCTCCTGACCCTCTGAGCTTTCTGCTTCTTTTCAGACTGTTTGCTTTCCTCCTCTTTGTTCTGATGCTACCCATCAATCCCTGCAGCATGAAGGCTGAGGTCAGCGCGAGGCCAAGAGGCCACGCCGTCTGCCGGTTCCCATGACACCACGCTGATGTCACTCAGGAAGGTCCACCCAATCAATCATTTCCATGACGACCCAGACAACAATGCTGTGACTGTGAGCTCACCGCAGTGCGTCTCGTCGCTCCAGTCGTCGCAGTCATTGTAACCGTTGCACACCAGCTTCTGAGCGACGCAGATCCCCGTCGCACACAGGTAGTTGTCCTTCCCGCCGCACACAGCTGCCCACCAATCAGAGAGCAGGATTACATCAGTGATGTCATGGTAACGTAGGGCCTAACGCTGGCGGATACTCACAGGGTTTCCCTTTGATCTGACGTGGCGTGAAACACGCCGGCGGCGCCGGGCCTGTGGTCGCCACGGGCGATGGGGAGGAGGGCGGCGACGTTGTGGTTGGAGACGAGGTGTTTCTGCTGAACTGCGAGCAGCGCAGGAAGTCCGGCCAGGAGGCGTTGAACATCTGCAGGACGGGCTCGCAGCCTTCCCTCGCCGCCTCGCAGAAGGAGGCGCACGGCAGCACCACCCTCCTGGGGAGGAGGGAAACGGGTTAAACTCAGGAGGAGGAGGTCCCTCAGAGCCGCCATGTTCCACAAGGATCTACTTTAAAACAACGGAGACGCTCAGATCCAGATGTTGGAGCACAGCTTCGTTCGTTCTTCTGGAACATTCAGTGATAAGTTCGCCCTAAGCGCCATCTGGACCGGTCAGACCAGCATAACCATCAATACCCGGTTATCCCTTTCATTTAGTATAAAAAATAAACTTTAAACTACCTCTATGGGCGTGTATACCTTTAATCATGTACAAAAAAAACAATTTAAGTGTTACTTTTTGGTCGTTTGTGAAGCGTATGCTGATCTGACCTTAAATACACTCTGCTGGTCTGACAGAACACCGCTGGGACGCCGTGTCCAACCTTCCAGCTTTACTAGAAACCCACCAGCGGAGCAGCAGAGGGACTCAGCTTCCCACAGCCGTCCCAGCAGGGGTCAGAGGTCATGCAGAGTTGAAGCTACGGTTACTGGAGCTGCGTGTGTTTGTGTTCTGCGTGTTATTCTTAGTCCCGCTCACCCAGCTGCCGTATCATTTACCGTCCGAACAGCTGAGCTCCATGCGGAGGAACGCACGCCTGTTAGTGAGTGTTTTATGGCTGCAGGCGACAACTACGTATCCCAGAAGGCTTAGGGAGGCATTAGCAGGTGTTAACAGGGAAAAGGTTGGACCTCACGGTTTGCCGTACCTGCCGTCGGTCCCGTCGGCCTCCAAACACTCGGGCAGCGCCAGCGAGCAGCCGAACAGCATGATGTGTCTGTAGCAGGAGAGTCTGCTGAGGTAGCTGAAGAACCTGCAGAACACAGCACCACGGTTCTGATCCAAACACGGTTTAATGAAAGCTGGGCTGAAGCAGAGAGAAACTGGACCTCAGCCAGCAGAACCTCTGGTTCCTCTGCTCCAAAGTTCTCATGTCTGCATAGAAGGATGCAGACGATAGACGTCAGAACGCCGCCTGAACCAGAGGATCTGCTGAGGTCTATGGAGCTATTCTGGAGCTATGAAGCTGTTAAAAATACAATAAAATAAAAACGTTTCTCTCAAAAGAAAAACTACTTTTCAGTCATTTTTTTTATTTTCAAATTTTTATTACCAGCTGCCTTATTTATTTATTTTTTTTGGCTTCAATCCTCTGGCCATGTTTGGTCATGAGGGGGCGGGGCCTCAGGTTACCGTTACAGTCAGGTTCATTTATTTATTTTTTCAAATAAACTTTTTTCCAGGTTAGATTCTTTTTGAACAAATTCTTTTAGGTTTCATTTTTTTCTGTAAACATCTTTTTTTTTAGGTTTTCATAAAAAAAAAAACTGTTAAATTGTTTCTTAACAAATTTGCTTTTTAGGCTTCAATCTTTTCCTTTAAACAATTTTTTTAGGTTAAATTATTCTTTCTAAAAACCTTTTTTTTCCCAGGTAACTTTTTTTAACTAATTCTTTTTAGGCTTCAAGGTTTTTATTCAGAAAATATTTTTTCTAAAAAAACTTTTTTCTTCCCAGGTTTTTTTAGTTTATTTCCAGATTTAAATCTTTGTTTTGACAAATTCCTTTTAGGCATAAATGCTTTTCTTTAAAAATGTCTTTGGTTAGATTTTTTTTTTCTAAATTTTTTTTTCCAGGTTTAAATCTTTTTTTCTTTTTAAATCTTTTTCAGATTTCATTATTTTTTTTTCTTAAGATCAATTTTTTTTCACTTTTAAATCTATTTATTCTACTTTTTGCCCCTAATTTAGCTCCATAGGTTTCCCTCCAGATGTTCCAGCATCATGGAGCGGCGGTTACCTTAGCAACATGTCCACCTCTGAGCTCTTCACCACGGCGACGGAGGAGGACAGCCAGGTCTGGTTGTAGGGCAGCATGTGGCACTGAGGCTCCACCATCAGCTGGCATCTTCCTGCAGGAACCAGAACTCAACATTATTTTCCTGCAGAGAAACAGTCCAGATCTAAACTAAGCAGAAACAATCTAAACACTCTGTAATCTACCTGCTCCAGTTCTACTTCCTGGTTCTGATGTAACCATTCAGTCGGGCACCTCTGTGAGTTTTTCTATCAGTCGAGGTTCTGTTTGTTCTCAAACAAACCAGAATCTCTGCTCCTGTTAGAACGCTGTAGGTTAAACTTCCAATCAGTCTGATGACCTCCCGTCATCCAATCAGAACGCAGGACGGAGCCAGGCTCATCAGCATTCACCTCAACATCCCATTAATACAGAGAGAGACACAGAAGGACGGCGGAGGAGCGCAGCGGAGACGGACGGAGACGAGGGGAATCTTAAAGCAGAAATGATTTAGCAGAAATGTTCCACCTGAAGCGGGCCTCGGACCCCCCTGGCCCACCCGTGAATTCCCCGGCCCTCTGAGACACGTGTTGGTCCACAGAGGGAGGGTGTCAGCGGATCAGAATTCAGCTCAGACTCTCTGTCCGTCACGGCGGCTCTTATTGGATCAGCTGCGCTGCTCTAATGGGATTCGGCGTGGCAGGAAAGGACAGGACAACAAAAACACAGACAGGCTGCAGCACTGAAGGATTGTGGGAGTTTTTGTCCTCCTACAGCTCTAACACATCCTCCTGGCTGTCAGCCTTTCTAGGAACCGTTCTTCTCCAAACAGAGAACTTGGGGTTACCTGTGTCGGATGCCGGGGTGCTGCTGCTCATCGGCCAGGCGGTGCTCAGTGATGTCACAGAGGAAAGCCAATCAGGAAGCTTCGTAGACAGCTGTGTAGGCGGAGCCTGAGAGGAGGCAGCTGTAGGAGCTTGAGTGTAGGCCAGCGGTCTTTGGCCGTGGCGTGCCTTGACCCGCACAGACGAGGTGACGTTTTCAGCCTCTGACAAGTAGAAAGGGATGGGAGGGCTGGTGGTGCTGTTGCTATGGTAGCCATAGTTGTTGTCAGCAATAGTCTCTGTGGAGGAGTAGGGCCTGGATTCAAGGAGGTTTCTCCCAAACATCCCTGAGGAGAACAAGCAAACAGTTAACAGTAAGCTCTTCTGCTGCGGGAGCTAAAACTTCAGACAACAAGTCCTGAACTGATTGATGGCAAAATTAGAACCAAAGTGTATTTATCTGATTTAGCAGACTCTGGTGTGAACATCTGGGATGCCTCAGGGCTGTCATTTCGGTCCCCTGCTTTTTAAACTGAGCTGAAATGGTTCGTGTTTCACCTCTATGCAGACGATGCTGTGCTATTAGTGACGTTTCAATCACAGGATCCTTCTACATCTCAGTCCCTTTATGGAGTCTCAGTTAAAGAAACCGAAGTGCTGAGTTCTGCGGAAATCCAGAACATTCTTTGTAGTTTAGCTGAGCAGTATACCTTTTTTTCGCACCACACCGTTTCAATGATTACCTTTAAGAATTTACATACTCACTAAAGTAAATCTGACCTGACGCTAACAGATGCGTTGGGCTCGATACAGAAATGTGTCAGACCAATGAGATGTAGAGACATGTACGATGTCAACACATCAACCAGAGGCAAAAAGCTGAAGCAAATTAAAGATGGCTGCTCCAGTTTTCGCTGGAAAATCCTCTGAGTCCTTTGAAAAACTAGCAAAGGGACGTGATCTGTGCTCTCTTTGGATGGAAAGGATGTTTGCTCGTTCCTCTGGACCAGATTTAGTAGGAGTTTATCAGTTAACTCCACTACTAGTAAGAGAAATCAAGAATTAGATACTTCAGAGCTCCTACCAGCGATTGGCCAACATGGATCACTAGATTTATCCAATTAGCTTGAAGAGTTGTACTAAATGTCCCTCCCTTTTGCAGATACTTTCTACGGGAGTCCTACCAGATGGAGACCGTGTAGAATTGAAACCAAACTAAACGGATCCATCTAGCTTACGCCAGGTTACTGTTATGATACAAGGCTGTGTCCGAATGTTCGCCCTAACCCTTATATAGGGCACTATATGGGAGTTACGCCATTTTTAATCAGTGTCCGAATGTT